TTATAGTCACTGATAGATTTAAAGTCCTGGAATCTTAGATTGATCCAGTCATATTGAGCTTTAGGCAAAAGAACCTATTGCTGGTGGCCATACCTCTCCTGTAAATGGTCCCATAATTCTTTTGGATCATCAACCAAAAGATATTCAGATTTAAGACTTTTATGGAGGTGGTGACGGAGGAAAATGATAGCTTTCGCTTTATCTTGGGAAGATGATAGATTATTGGCTTCAATTGTATCTTCTAAACCATTAGCCTTAAGATGTGCCAGAGCATCGACTTTCCATTCCAAATATTTTTTACCGGACAGATCAAGGACGTCGAATTCTCGTTTGCTAATGTTTGCCATGATACTACAAGAATTATTAATACAAATTTGTTACTAAACTTTCACAAATGTTATGAATTTTAGAATATAGTCTAAATATAGGTAGTAATAATGTTGAGATAAATTATGCTCCGTAGTATCAAGGGTTTCTCAACTTTATTAAGTGTAACATTTAATTTTGACTTTACTTTTAGAATTCAACCTAAGTTACCTAACGGTTAGGTTTGTTTTCATATTACCCGTGACAAGTCAGACAAGATAAACTCATGCAGATAATAGAAACAAAAGTAACCGAAAACAATAGCATATACGGAGTAGCAATTTTTAAACATGTTACGTGGCTTGATTGCATGTGAATTCTCTGACCTATATATGTGACTCACATATATCAATTCGTAATAGGGATAAAGACATAAACAAGAGTAAAACATAGAGCTGGACTCTAAATAGGAGCCGAACTTTTTTAAACCGTACATAGGACTACTAGCTACGTGCAAGGACAAAAATAACCTCACGCCTTATTCGTCATCAATTTCGTGGCCACTGCTTATTTTAATAGAATACAACCGACCTCCTTGGATTGACTTCGCCGCAACGGAATATCATCACCGTTGCAGCACCTCACCGCCAAGTTGCCGACGCCACTTCGCGCCGCCTCCGCAGCATCGCGTTGCCGCTTTTTACTGCACATCTTCTCTTTCCCAGTCTTGAGCACTCCCGCCTCCCTACGGAAAAAACTATTCTACGTATTTGGCAGATGAAGATCCAAGGTATTTATTTCTGTCCATAAGAGTATGATGCTACTCCGATCTATCTGAGCATCTGGCTGTGATTCCTATAAAAGAGGTAAGTCCTGGATGTCCTATGGGCAAGAAGAGCGGCCAGAATGGCAGAACTCGATCTTGTGAGCGTGAGGAAGAGATTAGAGTTCAAAAGCAAAATTCAGGTCTCAACTTGCATCGAGTTCAGCTGGGGTTATCCGAACGGACCAAAAGTGTTGTCTTTTGTTTTTGTGTGGAGTGGACTTAATAAAGATCCGCATGCTTCATCAATTGCAGGAGAGAATTTTCTTTTTTTTTTTCGAACAAGCTTTTTGACTAAGAGCCCGTTTGGTAGCACAAAAATCGGCTGTTTTGGCTGTTTCTGCTGAAATTTATGAAGTTCTGGCTGAAGTGGCTGTTTTGGCTGATTCTGCTGATTCTAGAAAAAAATATTTTAAAAATATATTTTATTAATAAAATAAAGAAAAAATTACATGTAAAAATAGCTAAAATGGTCATCTACAGTAACTTCAGCCAATACAGCCAGAAAAGTAACTCCAACCTTACTTTTTCTGCTTATTACCCAATTCAGCACGTGAAAGTAAAAATTACGTGTTTGGTGAAAAAGCTGGCTGATAAGCCTGATAAGCCGAAAAAAGGGGTCTCCAAACGGGCTCTAAATGTTCAAATCAAAGTGACCATGTCCACACAGAGACACTAACCCACACGCTTTACATTGGGGATATTCTAAAACATCATAATATTGTGTGAAATTAGTCACACAATATTATAAATCAATGAATAAATTATAATTTAGTCATAATTAATTACCTTAAAGAAATAGTTCATTAAATTAAATTAATTGTTAATATTTACAAATGATGTATGTTGACAATGTCATTTTCATAATGGTTGACATTCACATTGTCATTGGCATTTTTATGACATTGTCATTGACATTCTTATGAAATTGTCATTGACATTCTTATGACAATGTCATTGACATTGTCATCATGATTAATTAACATTATACCTTTTTACGACATAGTGACTTTTTTTAATTATAAAATTAACATTGTCATTATAGCTATTGACATTGTCATAATTACAATGTCATTTTATAGCATTGACAATGACATTGCCATTGCGACATTTTCTTTATCTGGTGACATTTTAATGCATTGACATTGTCAAGATAACAATGACATTTGAATAGACATTGTGAAAACATATTACAAATTGACAATTACAATGACATTTGAATAAACCAACAATTACCTTGTCAACGTGAGGTTAATTATAAGAACTAATGACTAAAATGATTAACGAAATAATCATTTTGAAGGAACTAATGACTAATGACTGAAAATTTGAAGGAAACAAATAACCGTACTGGACTCATGAAGTTACAATTTGAATAAGGAATTAGATAAAAAAAACCAAAATCAAATTAAACAAGAAATACTCCGTATAAAATTAAGCAACACCCCACAGAAATTAAAGAAGCCACAAAAGAACAGAAAACGGAAAGTGCAATTTCGAAGTGCTGTTTTAAGATCCAAAACAGCACGCCCGCGGAAAATATGTTACAGATCTCGTCGTTTTCTCATCCCGCCGCTGCAGAGTTTCTGTAAAATAAAGCCCTTCCGTCGTCGCCGTTGTATCGCTATGACACGCTGCCGTCTCCATGTCGGTGGAGCTGGTTGGTCGCATCCCATCTGTTCGCACCGCCTTGCTCATCTGCTACAATGGGAATTTGGAAGTGAATGTAGATGGCCCGGTAGAATTTGTCCATACGAAGAGAGAGACTTGTGGAGTTGTAGAGACGAGCAACAAGAATAAGAAATAGGGGTAAATTTGGAACACGGAAAAAATGTACTCCTATTTAGAAGTTAAAAAGTAGTAGGTCCTATTTGAGTACATAGTCTTTTTTTTTTAGTCCTATATGGCATCATTTCTCTTAGTAATAGTAGGTGTAGGGAATACTCCTTATTTGAATAGTCTAGAACTCTAAAAACAACAATCTAATTTTGTCATTATAATACTCCCTCCGTATCTTTAAAATCTTCCCATTTCAAAAGTAGGTAGATTAAGAATAGTGAAAGATGATATGAATTATTGAGGGTATGATGGGAAAATAGTGGAATAATGTGGTGGAATGTAGGATAAATCCAAAAAAAAGTAGTTGTAATAGTGTATTATTTTAAGAATTATTGAGAGTATGATGGGAAGATTTAGAAATGGGAAGATTTTTGTGTTACGGACGAAAAAGGAAAGTGGGAAGATTTTTAAGTTACGGAGGTAGAATCAATTATCAAAGCACATCCGTGAGTTCTGAGTTGCATTAATTTTAGTTCTGAACAATGGCAGCAATAACTTAACATCATCTTTATATTCAGACCATTTCTCCTCTTATACCCCGTTTTCCTATTCTTATTATTCATATCCTCTTTGCAGATGTCCATTACGATTAACGAATCCAAGTATTCATCATATCAATTATATTGGGTTTTTTATGTTTACAGAGTTTTCTTATCACTATCTTCTTGCATTATTTTTCTTTATTCTTTGTTTTTCATTTCAAGTCACATAACTATTTTATACAAGTATTACACAGCAGCAGTCTTTCTAAAGTCATAATCTTCTTCCGTTTTTGTTCTATGAAGACCTTGTCTATTCATCAAGATTGAAGACCACTTAGAGGTAAACTTCTCTACTTCCTTATTATTATATAAAGTACGTAAACTTTATTTGGAAAAACCAATTAATTTACTTGCGTAGTACTACATGTTATATTCTGAAAAAAGTATTTTAATGACTTCAGAACATTAAAGAAGATAATTAATAATGATGCTCATACCTGCAGGAAGATGATTTCTTGGAGAGTTTTGAGCAGATTCGTGCTGATAACGTGTTGTGAAATGAAGAAGATGAAGAACAGATTTAAGAGATAGATATATTGTTAAAAAGCTCTAAATAACTTCTTCTTAATCTCTGAAATTTCTGAGTTCTTTTTAATTGCTTTACAAGAGTTTGAGCAAGCCCTATTTATACTAGCCAGACATGAGATGAATCATCTAGGAATGATTCTACATGATTTGCTGACAGTATTGAATCTAGCCATGTGTGTGATTACAATGACTTGTGTTTGATGAGTAAGGATGAGAACTAGCTAGGTGTCCTGATTACAAGGGACAATTCACACATGTCATTCTAGCCATTTTACAACACTAATGAATATAACATACCCTGAAAAACATTATAAAAGATGATTTTATCCCCAAGAATACAAAAGGGTAATTTGAGTTTGCACCTCATATTATTATTGTCTAAATTGAACTTCGTACCCCGTTTTTTAAAATTTTTGTTTTTGCATCTCAAACATGTATGAAAAGACAAAAATGTCCCTTGAAGATCCCCAGAATTGTCTAACGGAGGGACATTTTTATCTTTTCATACGAGGTTGGGGTGCAAAAACCAGAATTTTTAAAAATAGGATGCAAAGTCCGATTTGAATAATAATATGGTGTGCAAACTCAAATTACTCAGAATACATATGCCACCCAATCTAATGTAAATATTTTATTAAAAAGGTAAAACCAACAGCTTTTGTATCAACTAAAATACTCCGTACTTGATTATCTCAGTTTTTATAAACTGAATTGCTTATTTATCTCATCTCCCAAAATCAGACTCACCGGTCATCAGATAGCTTGCATATGGAGCTCCCAATATACAAGTTTGAAAATTTTATACTCAGGGGTCAAAAGCTTAAAACAAAACAGTATTTGTAAACCACTTTTAAATGCAAATTCAAGTAAGAATAAAACACTCCGAAAATTTAATAGAAATTTGCAATATACAAAAAAAAAATTGGTAATCCATTTTTATTTTTAGCGTGGCACTATAAGTTTCATGTGAAATAATGAACATGAGCTGATTATAATAATGTTAAAATTGCGAATTAATGAGGTAAGGAAAACACAGAAGGTCTTTGTATTTGGAAACAAAAAACTACTTATTATTAAATAGACTTGGACTTGAGCAAGAAAATTACCAACAAAACAAAACAATAAGTGAAGAAAATTACACCTTCAGGAGCTAAGGGTACATCACATTTTCAAGCTAAAGTTCACATAAAACTTAATCAACTTCCTCAATCTTTGGACCACCGGCACCACCTGCACTACCACCACCGAAACCAGCAGCTCCACCATCCATATCAGGGCCAACACCACCTTGGTACATCTTAGCAATGATGGGATTGCAAATACCCTCAAGTTCCTTCAGCTTGTCTTCGAATTCATCAACCTCCGCAAGTTGGTTGCCATCCAACCACTGAATTGCCTGTTCAACAGCACCTTCAATTTTCTTCTTATCGTCAGCTGGCAGCTTAGAGCCAATTTTCTCATCCTTGATGGTGTTCCTCATGTTGTAAGCATAGTTTTCTAGCGCATTCTTGGCTTCGACCTTCTTCTTGTGTTCCTCATCCTCGGATTTGTATTTCTCAGCTTCTTGGACCAATTTCTCAATCTCTTCTTTGGACAACCTACCCTTGTCATTGGTGATTGTGATCTTATTCTTCTGTCCAGTGGTTTTATCTTCAGCTGACACGTTGAGGATACCATTGGCATCAATGTCAAAAACGACATTGATTTGAGGGACTCCCCTCGGGGCAGGTGGGATGTTACTAAGTTCAAATTTCCCAAGCAAGTTGTTGTCTTTGGTCCTCGCCCTTTCCCCTTCAAACACTTGGATCAAGACACCTGGTTGGTTATCTGAATATGTCGAGAAGACTTGTTCTTTCTTTGTTGGGATTGTAGTGTTCCTTGGGATCAAAACTGTCATAACACCACCTGCAGTCTCTAAACCGAGGGAAAGTGGGGTGACATCCAAAAGGAGAAGGTCTTGTACCTTTTCATTCCCTTCACCGGTCAAGATGGCAGCCTGAACTGCAGCACCATATGCAACAGCCTCGTCAGGGTTGATGCTCTTGCAAAGCTCCTTCCCGTTGAAGAAGTCTTGCAAGAGCTGCTGCACCTTAGGGATCCTAGTAGAGCCACCCACAAGGACGATATCGTGAACAGTGCTCTTGTCCATCTTGGCATCCCTCAAGCACTTCTCAACAGGCTCCATACACTTTCTAAACAGATCCATGTTTAGCTCCTCAAATCTGGCACGGGTCATAGTGGTGTAGAAGTCAATCCCCTCGTAGAGGGAATCAATCTCAATGGTTGTTTGGGCGGTGGACGAGAGAGTCCTCTTTGCTCTCTCACATGCTGTCCTTAACCTTCTAAGAGCTCTAGGATTCCCACTGATGTCCTTCTTGTGCTTCCTCTTGAACTCTTGAACGAAGTGGTTCACCATTCTATTGTCAAAGTCTTCACCACCAAGGTGAGTGTCTCCCGCTGTGGATTTGACTTCGAATATCCCTTCTTCAATCGTGAGGAGGGAAACATCAAAAGTCCCTCCACCCAGATCAAAGATGAGGACATTCTTCTCGCCTATGCTTGATGCCTTCTTGTCTAGACCATAGGCAATTGCGGCTGCAGTGGGTTCATTGATAATTCGCATCACATTAAGCCCCGCAATGACACCTGCATCTTTGGTGGCTTGGCGTTGGGAATCATTGAAGTATGCAGGCACGGTTACAACAGCATTCTTCACGGTAGAGCCAAGGAAAGCCTCTGCAATCTCCTTCATCTTTGTAAGAACCATTGAAGATATCTCTTCCGCTGCAAATTGTTTGTCCTCTCCCTTGTATGATACCACTATCATGGGCTTATCACCCGGACCAGGAATCACTTTGAAGGGCCAGAGCTTCATGTCACTCTGAACAGATGGATCAGAGAATCTCCTCCCAATCAATCGCTTTGCATCTGAAACAGATTAATAGTTTAACACTCTTCCATTGTTAATTTTTTTTTTTTAAAACCATACTCTTCCATTGTTATATAACTCTAATTCACACAATACAATGTCAATGAACACAGAACAGAGCAAATATCTTAATTTGATCGTGTAGCCACTAAAAACTGTAAAAAGGATGGAATCATGTCTTTATATCGGCAAAGTATACTTCAAATAATTAATTTCTACCATAAATTCCGCATTAGTAGGATTTAATTTAACCACTAAATTCAGAGATCCACTAAATTCCGCACACTAATAGCACAGATCTATCTAACCTCAGACTTCAATGCTCTCAAAGTTGAAGAAAAATATATAATTGTGAAGTTGAAGCTTGACATCCCTCTAATTTGTACTAAATACCAGTACAACAATTATATATACAAGTAATACAACAGAACTGAAAGGACAAAACAAACTTACCGAAAACGGTGTTGATGGGGTTCATAGCCACCTGGTTCTTAGCAGCGTCGCCGATGAGACGCTCGGTGTCGGTAAACGCCACGTAAGACGGCGTCGTTCGGTTCCCCTGATCATTGGCGATGATCTCCACACGATCATGCTGCCACACTCCGACGCAGGAGTAAGTCGTTCCGAGATCAATTCCGATTGCAGGTCCGTCTCCTTTTCCAGCCATGACTGATCAGCTATAAAATGAGAAAATTAATTGATTCGCTAACTTTGATGAATTGGCAGTGTAGTTGTATATTCCCTTGTTTTGAGTCTTGTTGAGAGACGGAGAAGAAAAGCTTGTATTTATATTCCAGAATAGGTAACGTTGGATGGGACTAGAAGATTCTGGATTTGAATTTAAGCCGTCCGATTGGGAAGTGTGGGTAGATTTGGCTAGGAGCTTCTACGATGATATTCGCGGTTCTTCCAGGCATCTCTAGATTAGCTTAAGCCTATTGTTCTCTTAACACAACACAAGTACAAAAAAAACTAGGGGTGGCGCAGTCCAAAACGGTCCGGTAAATTAGTAAAACCCGTAATGTATCCGCTAGTTTTTTAATGGTCCGGTACGGTCCGGTTTCAAGGATAGAACCGTTCAATACTATGCCGTTTCGGAACGGTACAAAACGGTACGGTGCAATGCCAAACACATGTTAAAAAATTTGAACAAATTTTGCAATTGGTAGATATCTTCACACCAACCAACTCACATGAAATATTGATATAATTACAAGAAATTGCATATGTAGTACTAAACTTCACAAATACACAAATAGTGCAACGCAACTAAGAAAAAGTATAGCAAAACGATGACGCACGAGATAAATATCATCTTTAATTGAGAAAAGGGTCAAATAAGGTCTTCTACTATTAATAAAATGCCATATAAGTACCTCTACTTGTAAAAAACAATCAAATGAGTCCTAACGATTTATTTACAATCTCCTAATCTCGGTTTTAGCTTACATATCGATTTTTTTGACTTGTATTTCAACAAATCTTAGTTAAATATTAGACGTATGCCGTATAATCTATTCTAAAAACATGATCAGAAGTACGCTAAAACAGATATTAAGAGGTGTTAAATAGGTCATTAAGACCCATTTGATTGTTTTTTACAAGTAGAGGAACTTATATGACACTTTATTGAATACATGACCTTATGTGACTTCATAATAGTAGAAGGTCTTATTTGACCCTTTTCTCTCTTTAATTTACTAAGTTCATGTGAAAATATAAAAAAGAATATCATCAAATTGTTCAATATAATAGAAATCTTCAATGTTTTTCTTCTTCATTCTAGGTTAAATATTACTCCCTCCGTCCCAGAAAATTCTTCCAACTTTCCTTTTTGGGACGTCCCAGAAAATTCTTCCAACTTCACCTTTTTGATTATTTGTGTGGCTCACATTCATTTCATCTTTTTCTTACACAACTACAACCACACGTTTCCACTTTATTCCCACTTTCTTAAACTCCGATCCAAGTCAAACTAGGAAGAATTTTCTGGGATGGAGGGAGTACATATTAATATCTATTTTAATTTATAGTTGAACCTTGAGAGCTAAGATTTAAACCATATTAATTAAGTTGTAAAATTGCGCAAACATGATACCACAAAAAGTCATGTACACTACATTACTAGAAATGAATAGTCCTTAATATTTCTAAAATTTTAATATTCTTTCAATACATATCAAAATATAACATAAATGATCTAAAAAGGAAAAATAACAATATATATACTCCCTCCGTCCCTTACAACTTTGTCAACTTTCTTTTTTTGGATGTCCCACTAACTTTGCCACTTTCTCTTTTTAGTAAAGAATTTATGGTTCCAGTTAATTCTCTCTCATTTGCACAAACCTCAACCACACAATTTTTACTTTATTAATCTCCGTGCCGGTCAAACTTGGCAAAGTTTTAAGGGACGGAGGTAGTATAATATAAACACACACTTTTAGCTAGTTTAGTAACGCATGAATACATATGTGGGCTATAAAATCGTTTGTCTATAAAAGAGATCTATTGGTATAGATAAATTATAAAAAATTTAAATGCAATATTTTCGAACGGTTCGGTCCGGTATTTTTCGGTTCTCAAAATCTAGGACCGGTCCTGTACCCGTTTCAAACGGTTCAGTTTCGGTACGGGACAAAAATCTATAGAACCATTTAAATACCCAGTATTCGATTCGATACCATTACAGAACGGTTCGGTACCGGTTCAGTTCGGGTTTTTTGTCCACCCCTACAAAAAACAATGTCATAATTAATTCTTAAAGAATTAGAAGCCTTTGAGATTATATTTACAACAAAACATAACAAGATAACGTTTTAATATATTAGAAATAACGGTTTACATACACCCTCCCCAAAAGGTTCGGCAAATTGATTTTTTATATCATCAAATCCAACTCTTATATCAAATCATTAGGAAGCGGATCATTACAACTGACTCCAAAAGACCAATCATGACAAAAACTATCCCTAACCAACTATCGCAATCATGGGCGGAGATAGGGGTGGGCCAACCTAGGCCGTGGCCCACCCCAAATTTTAAAAATGGTTTGATTTTTAAGGTAAAAAATTTCGTGCATTTTTCTCTGAAAATATTCTTTGTACCGGCCCAGTGCCCGGGCTCCGCCCCTGATCGCAATCAATCTTACGGCTAGACTCTGAGACGATCACCCATGAAAGAGTAATGTGAATCGCTCGCTAACCACCAAGCGGGTGTGACACGACAATCACTGGCCAAATAGATCCTTCTAATGACATAATATCTAGAAGAATTGGCAATAATTATCATAGACCCAAAATTAAAAACCTTAACACAAAACGAAACACCGTAAACCAACATAACACGAAAATAAGACCATACAAAATAGAATAACTAACAAATACTCCAAACTTCTTGAACTTTCATCTTCCAAACCCCGACATCTCGATCAATCAATGGCGGCGGTTCAGGTGGGGGACGTACCGCCGATCTGTATTCTCCCTTGCTCAGCCCTTCGTCGCTCCCTGTTTGTTCATCGCCTGTGTCGAAGGCTGGAACCAAACATTGAAGCGTTGCTGCATTGCCCAACCCTCTACAATTCCATGTAATGATGCTCATCTTCCCCGGATTCGACTCGCCTCAACCCTGCAAGCGAACCTTGCTCCGCCAAAACCTCCACAAACGGGAAACAAAAAGCCAAATACCGAAGTTCCAAGGGGACTCGAAACAAACACCGCACTTCTCTCGGCTGAGTAGCGGTGGCCGAAGCAGCCTTGGCAAACCGGCGGCGGACAAAGACCTAGGCGTTACCGGATGGTAACCCTTGAGAGAGAAGCTCTGTGAAAAAAGGTATATAACTAGCTTCAACTTTTATATTACGGCAAATTGATTTTTCTTGAATAATGACAAGATATTTTTTAATACGGAATTATTTAGAATATGAAAATTATATCAAAATATTGTTTATTCAAAATATTTTCATAAAAGTATAAAATTTACAAATTATATATAAATATAATAATTAAAATCATTGTCCAAAGTTTGACATCATTCACCAAGAAAAGTCAATATGACGAATCTTTTCGGGACGGAGGTGTAATATATAATGACATACCATACTTAATAATTAGGAGTATATTGAATATGAATTGTGGTGGACTTTGTTTAATCTATGGACTTTAAAAAAATAAATGGAATGTTAAGTCTATAGTTTTTTTTATGAATGAATACTATTGACATATAAATCCATGGATAAGTTTATTGACTTTCTTAAAGTCTATACACTTTTAAATCCGACTGTCACTCCTGGTCGTCGGAATTGTCACCTAGATCGCCGCTACTAATCTGATGTCCACTTCTGTCACAGGACTTCACCGCTGCCGTCATCGACTGTTCCATCACCAACAAAATGGCTTTGGTTATGCAATGTAAGTAGGGGCAATCAATTACATTAATTAATTAAACTAGTATAGTACCCGTGCATACACACGGGAAATAACACTTGGTGCATATGTGTTTATTCATCATCTAATTAAATATTAAAATAAAATTAACTTTTAATATTTAAAAGTTATTTTTGAAAATTTAAAGTACAATAAGTTATTATCATAAAGTATAATCCATACAAAAAATATTGAGTGAAGAATATATTAATTGACATCACTCATTAGAACTTGCTACCTATAAATTTTCATAATTAAATTAATTTTAAAATTAAATACTATTCAAAAAAAGTGTGTACAATGAGTGAATGACATAAAATTCAAGTCAATACCATAAATATTAAAACTAACAAATATTAGTTAAATAAGAACTTGATAATCATTAGTTAAATTAGTGCTAACATATAAGAGAAAATTTGGCTAACAATTAAGCGGTAGAATTGTCCCTCTTATACGTAGTGATTTCAGATATAAGTCAATCTGGCTAACAATTGATAGTTAGAATTTTCTCTCGTATGTAGTTTTTTAGGTATAAAATAACGCAAAACGCTACATATGAGAGAGAAAATTCTGTCACTCAATTATTAGCAAGTTTATCTTCTTTATACCTAAAAACACTACATATGAGAGAGAAAATTATTCCACTCAATTGTTAGTTAACTTATCTTATTGCTAAAAGCACTGCATGTCTTCTTATACTAAAATAATATGTATGAGAAAGAAAATATTTCATCTCAATTATTAGCCAACTTATCTTCTTATACCTAAAAACACTACATTTCATTTCATTTTCATTTACCCTAGTGCCGCAAAGGCTCCCCCACCTATGATGGGGTAAGGGGTGGGGGGTCGGATGTACGCAGTCTTACCCTGTACTAAAGCACAGAGAGACTGTTTCCGGATGACCCATAGTGAAAATCGCGTCCAAAATTGCATGGACTGACTGTTGCTTCATAACAAAGAAGCGCAGATAGTTTAGTGAGCCATTTTGCTTTATTCCATCATATTCTCAAGCCAAAAAATAATGAATCTTTGACTCCATTGCAAATGATGGAAACAACATAAAAGCATTATATGTGAGAGATAAATTTTCTTGCTAAATTGTTAGCCGTATTATCTTATCTTATCTTCTTATATCTAAAAGCACTACACGTGAGAGCTAAATTTTCTTGCTAAATTGTTAGCCGTATTAACTTATCTTATGCTTAAAAAGAACTACATATGAGAGAGAAAGTTTTTCCGCTCAATTGTTAGAAAGCTTATATTCTTATCTCCTTATACATAAAAACACTACATATGAGAGAGAAAATTATTCCGCTCAATAACTCAATTGT